CTCTAATACACTGTAATGTTTCTGAACTGAATTGTCAACTGTTTGAAAAATAATAAATTGTATTAAAAATGGAGGAGTCATTCTCTGGATGTTGATTTTGAAGTTGTAAGAGAAGTGATGGTTGGTGGCCAGGTGTGGTAGCTCACACCTGTAATCCCAGCACTTTGGGAGGCCAAGACAGGTGGATCACTTGTGCTCAAGAGTTTGAGACCAGCCTGGGCAACATGGTGAAACCCCATCTCTACAAGAAAGTATAAAAATTAGCCAAGTGTTGTGGTGTGACTGTAATCCCAGTTACTTAGGAGATGGAGATGAGAGGATCACCGAAGCCTGGGATGTGGAGGTTACAGTGAGCCATGATCATACCACTGCACTCCAGCTTGGGCAACAGAGTGAGACCTTGTCTCAAAAAATAAACAAATAAATAGAAGTTGTGGTTGGAATTGTGTATAAGGATGAGATACACAAGAGGCAGGTCTGAGTGGTAAATATTTCCATATGAATGTTCTATAAGCACCAAAATTCCAGTATGTCCAAAATTGAATTTATTTTTCTCTCAAAGAATGCTTTCTGCCTCCTCTGAATTCCGTATCATGAATAATCTCTTACCATCCAGGGCAGGCATTTGAGGGGGTCATATTTGTTCTCCACATTTACCTTTATCTAGTATATACTTACATTCTTTTGGTTTTAACTTGTTCTCATCTCCTTAAACCAACCTTTTCTCCATTGACACTGTTACTGTTTTAACTGAGAAAGTCATTAACTGTCTCTTAACTGGACTCTCAGTTTGTCTTCTACCAATACAGACCTTTGTCCTTCTGATGCACAAATTTGGTCATACTTTCCTATTAGCATTAAAGTTCTTAGCATGAACACTTTAGCATGGCAATCAAGACCTTCCCTGAAGAGGCTTCATCTTTGACTACTTTGCTTTGTGCCTGACATTTCAGTGATATGAGACCACCAATTCTCATATTGTCATCTTGTTTCATACTTCTTTGCTTTTTCATACTTTCTTTGCTTGTTTTATACTTCTTTGCTTTTTCTCTGCCTTGGACCTCCTTACTCTGCTTTGCGAACTCCTGCTCTTTTTGCAAATCCAAGTTCACTGTAGTATCTTCACTGCTTCCTGGCCCCTTTCCCTTTCGTAGTGGCTTAATTCTCTGAACAAAGATGTCTCTTCCAAAACTTCATAATGTAAACATTTGCTTCGTTTTGTTTTCTTGACGGTGAACTCCTTGAGAGGAGAGACAGTCTTTTTTAACTTTGGACTGGAACACTTAGTACAATACCGAAATATGTACAGCCTGATAGATGTTTTGCTCAGGCATCCTTTCCAAATATAAATGTATCGATAATTCTCAGAACAAATGATCAGAAATGGTAGAGTAGATGTTTTACTGTTATTTCTTAGTCTGATGATTACTATATTAAATTTAGTCCCTGAATGTCTCAGTGAATAATCTTTTTATTTTATTCTGCTGTTTTTTTGTTTGTTTTTTGTTTTTTGTTTTCGGGACAGGGTCTTGCTGTTTTGCTCAAGCCAGGGGGTTGGTGTGCAGTGTGCAGTCATGGCTCACTGCAGCCTCAAAGTCCTGGGCTCAAGCAATTCTCCTGCCTCAGTCTCCTGAGACTGAGATGGGACTCAGGTATGTACAACCACGCCTGGCTAATTTTTAATTTTTTTTTTTTTTTTTTGGTAGAGATGAGGTCTCTCACTATGTTGCCCAGGCTGGTCTCAAACTCCTGGTCTCAAGTGGTCCTCCCATTTTGGCCTCCCAAAGCATTGGGATTACAGGCATGTACCACCATGCCTGGGCTAAGTGGAAGTTCATGATTACTAGCTGACTTTACTACTGGTTGCTTTACAGCCTCTTTTCAACTTTTTTAGTATGCTTACAAATATTCTTAAAGATTACATTTTTAACATTAGCATTGAAATTTTTGGCTTTTAAATGTCATCAGAAAGAAAGAATGTGGCCTAGCTGAAAGAATCTGAATATTTTTCCCCTTACAGTTCTTCCCCTCACCCCATGGTATGTTTATGGTGTGAATGAAACTTCAAAGGAACATACTACTATAAGTGAGCCAGAATGTTAAATTTTGTATGGATTGGCTGGGCGCAGTGGCTCATGCCTGTAATCCCAGCACTTTGGATGGCTGAGGCGGGCGGAACACCTGAGGTCAGGAGTTTGAGACCAGCCTGACCAATATGATGAAACCCTCTGTCTACTAAAAGTACAAAAATTAGCCAGGTGTGGTGACATGCTCCTGTAATCCCAGCTTCTTGGGAGGCTGAGACGGGAGAATCGCTTGAACCTGGGAGGTGGAGGTTGCAGTGAGCCAAGATCGTGCCATTGCATTCCAACCTGGGCAACAAGAACAAAACTCCATCTCCATAACAAAACAAAACAAAAATTTTGTATGGATTGCTCCTAAGACGTGCAGAAAAATGCAAATAGGGCTATTTTAGTCTTTAGAGGAAAAAGCTTATCCTGTAGAAATACATCAGAAAGATCTATTTCAGCAGGTTTTCATAGAGGGGAAAAATTATTTACTTGCAATCTTGATCACTAATGATGTTGAAATTGATCACCAGTCAGTCCTTCTGTTCTCTTTGCATTTAAATTTTAAATAGTGTTTGCTATAAATACTACACTATATTTTTCTATTAAAAATTACTGTAACATTCACAGGTGAAAAGTATAATTACCTAATGGCGGGTCATTAGCTCAGAACTTTGAGCTTAGCAAATTTCACTGTCTTCTACCAAAGTAATTGAATGTCTAAAATAATGACTATTTCAGCAGGTATCTTTAGTGAATAAGAATTATAGGTAAGACAATTTTTCTTTTCTAAAAGTATTAATGATGTGTTAGTAGTTGTATTAAAATTTATTAATCTTAAAGTATACTTTTATAGTTCAAAATTTTAGTGTGCATTTTAGTGATGCATTTTATAATTTAAAATTTACTGTGTGTTTTTCTAAATATTTTTAAGATTTATTTTTCTGAAGGTGTTCACTAGTTATTACGATTCTGTTCCTTAAAGAGAGTACTAATAAGGTAAAAGGCACAAAACAAGATTGAAATCATAGGCCTCTTAATGCAAGTTATTTCAATAACTTACTGTGTTCTCACCTACCAGTTTCTTGCCAGTAGATAAAGAGTAATAAAAACCTCTGTCACCAACCCCCATCGCAGGGATAGCAAGAGGACTGCATTTCCTCTGTTGAAATGCCAGCAATAATGAACATAGTTAATGGGGCTCGTTTTAATAGCTGCATACAATTAATGTATTATAATAGGCGTATGCTAAAATGATTAGCATGGTAATATTTCTTTTATAAGAATATAAAAGGTCTTACTTTGATAACATTTACAACGATAAGCTGAGGGAGAAAAATCTTTTATGAAATACTTAAACTGTTCTATGACCAATTTGTTTTTCAAACTGAATTTAAAATGACTAAATGCTTAGAAATAAAAATGAGTTGTAATATACACATTTATTTCAAAACTTCATTAATTTGCTTTTTCATGCTTTTTGCTTTTTTAGACTAATGTTTCACGTTTTCTTACTACTTTATAACTAATTTTATTCTTAAAACTTATTTTCCTTTATACTTCCTTAAACCAGTGAAGTTATACTGTATACTTGATGTGATCTCATCTTTATAAGTATTGTGCACAATTAAATACTCGAGACAATTACAAAATCTTTAGCCCCCAAAATGATTGACATTTGTGTCTTTTGTCAATTTTTTGTGCAAGTTTTACTCATTTCAGTTGGCTTAACAAGTTGGTTGTAAATTATTGTAGTGCACTGCCAATATAGTGGTTTTACAAAGGACATAATCTATTTTAAGTAGCAGTTTTGCCTTATAACTAAAATATAGATAAGTAATTTCATATAGTTAATTATTAATATTTAGCAAAGTATTAACATTTATAGCCCTAATTTTAAAAACTGTGCCCTCAAAGGATGGATAAAGAAGGAGGGTTTTGCCAAGTCTGTGTCATTCATTAGCCATAAGGGTAGCTTTTAGGATGGCTGACATTTCTATCCTATTAGATATCTTTTTTTTGTCAATGAAATTTAAGATAATATAGTTGTTGCTTATGTTAAATATATTATTCCTTAGGTATAGCTATTAAGTCTTCATAAAATTATGTATCACTTAACTCCTGATTAATGACATTTCACATCAGATAGGTACCCTACTTACACAGATTAAAATTGAGTTTAATATATAATATCACAAATAATATTTAGTCATTTCTGCAGGTTCTAAAACAAAGATCCTTTGGATAAGCTAGCTCCTAGATTAACTTGATTATTTTACAAGATTTTCTGGATGGCATATACCTTTGTTAATGTTTTAATAAGTTATAATTAATATTTTTTGAAATCAATAAGTTTTAATATTTGAGCAGTGCTTATGGAAGTTTTAAAGAGAATATATTCCTCAAAATTCTAATTATTTCTGTGATTTTACTGCCTCCGGAGTAAGTTAATTATAATATATATTTAAGTGGCATTATCATGTTGAATTTCACAATAGATAAAATATTTATCTTTTTTCACTTTTTAAGTCCTGTAATCATAAATACTGATGCATATTACTTATAAAGCATATAACCTGCTTTTAATTTTTAAAGAGTAATTCTTGTTTTGAAGCTGTTTTACTAATATGTATGTCTTTTATTTTAAATTGTACTTAGCAAAGAGAACATTTCTTAAGTGCCCTTGTTTTTAGAGAACAAGGAAATATATGTCTTTATTGATTTAGCACATTTATCGAATCTACTATTTAGTCTCATACGTTTAACTTTTACCTTAAGACATTTACAGAGGTCAATTTACTATTAAAGTATAAAATGTACATTAGTTTCGATCTACATTTTAATTATTTTAGGCTGGCAGAGAAAGAACTGTTTCATATTTTACCATCGTACGTATAAAATAAAATATTCAATACTTATCTTGTTTTCAAGATTAAAAAAAGAAGCTCCCACAAAGGAACAAGAACCTGTGTCTAAGGTAAAGTTTGTTTTACTTTATACCTTAAAGGTTTATACATTGAAAGTATTATTGGTATGATATAAAAATGTTTTTCAATTTCAGCATGCATACATCAACAATATTTGGGATGTTGTAAGGAAGAAAAAAATTGAGATTTAAAATTTTTCATTACATATAAAAATGTCTAGCCCTAAGTAAAATTTTAAGGTATTCTTGTTTTGACAAAGACATCTTTTATTTCACTTGCCTGTTATTTAGTTCAACTAGTGAGTAATGGAGATAAATTTATGAATTAAAAATCCCCAAATCAATAAAACGTCAGTCATTTGGCACACTGGAAAAATTAATCTTTCCAGGTTTAATTTTCTGGGATAATTTTTAACTGTCAAAAGGTTAAACTAATTTTTAAAATAGAAATATTTTGAATGTATGTTAAATATATTTTAGCTATTTTGAACAAGTACTCTGAATGCAAAACTCAGAATTATCATATAAATGTTATTTACCGAACAGTCTAATAGATGAGTGTAGAAATAGTTTTGCTGAACTACTTGCTTTCTTGATGTCAATTTATGTTGTTATTACTTAATGACTGCCTCTTTTTGAGTGTAATGAAGTGAGGTAGACTTGGCATTTATCTTTTGAAGACTTTGTCTTGAATGGTGCATAATATAAGTGAAATCCAGACAGAAGTATCAGCCTTCTTCCAAGCAGCTTTCTTTTGTACCATAGGAAGTTTCTTGTTTAAAAATTTTTTAACTACAAATTTCTTTAACAGATGCAGGGTTTTTTTAAAATCTATTTCTTCTTGAGGGAGTTTTGGTAGTTTTTTTTTGAGGAATTGTTTCGTTTTACCTAATATGTTGAACTCTATAATCTTATGTATTTGTATAATGAGAAAGTTTCTTATAGTATCCCTTATTGTCTTTGTAATCTTTGGAATCTGCAGTGATATCCCCTCATTCCTGATATTGACAATTCGTGTGTTTTTTCTATTCTTACTGTTTATTTTACTTTTAAACATGTTGTAAATACACAGAATGCAGTGTTACAGTTTTTACTTTAGACAGTTTTTTTTAGGGCAATTAAAAACTTTAAAATTAGCTTTATATTTACCTTTATTTTTACCATTTCCTGTGCCCTTCATTTCTTTATGTAGTCTTCATTTCTATTTATCACATTTACATTAAAAATTCTGGCCAGGGATATAATGGAGCAAATGTTTCAGGTGTATACAGGGGTATACAAGCCAATGTTTGCCCCCAAAATAATTATACCAAATTTGTTCCTTGTTTAACTCATCATAATTTAACAGGAAAAAATGCTGTATTCTGTGAATTTAAATATGATCAACTTTTTTAGTATTGTACAAAGGATATATATTTTAGGGGCAGGGGGATTTGGTGAGCAAACGGGATATTCTTGTCAGGTCTAAAAACGACATTAAAATCACATATACTTACCTTATGGACATCAAGATAAATGCAGTTGAGACACTTTGCACACAAAGATGATTATCAAATATTAAGAGATATAATATCAAATGACAAAATACATTATGCTGAAATTGAAAGCATATTGGTACAAATAGATTACAGATTGTTATGCAGATTGTCTGTATGTATATTTTGAGCCAAGTGGAAGAAGCTAAGGCTTTACAGTCAGTAAACATGACTATATATAAAGCTACACACTTAATAAAAATCCTATCCCTTTGCTTACAGTTGAAGGTAGTTTTGAGAGCGTATTTGATGAACATAAAACTTGAGCAAGAGATAATGCATATTCTTCTCAAATTTGAAAATAAATGAAAAAAGTAAACAAATGAGAAGTGCATGAATCACTGGGTAAAGAGTATTGATAATTATGAGGGCAATGCTTATTAAATAGAAATGAAGATTATAAATGCCCTAATTTCATATTTTATATAGAGAAAAAAAAATTCAGTGAAATGTTTTCAGATTTTGAATTTCTAAACTGGAGAAAAGTTGTTTTGTATAAATACATCTGATTTACAAAAACGAGCCACTAAGTTTGCACTTAAATATTCTGACATTTTAAATTCTGTAGAAATTCTATGTGAAATAGTTTAAAGCAGCATTTGATATCAGTAACATGCAATCAAGTTTGTGTTTGGGTCTTCTAAATCTTCTTAACATATTTTGCTTAGTGCAATCTTAAAGAGATTTGGAAATGGTATTCAGAAATTTTAAACAATTCCAGCCACAGTGGAATCCTGCGAGTGAAGCTTACTGTAAACTGAGGTTAATATAACATTTTTTAATGATTGTCACTTGTTCAAGAGAAATTGTTGTACATGACAGTTTGCTTATTTGAAAACAAAATAAGAAAAGAGTTAGATTTGAAAATGTACTATTGATGCATTTGCTTCCATTAGCCAGGAGAATAAAATAATACTGTTTTTGGCATAAATAAAATTTTTAAATTTAAGCTAATATGAGTTTAGTTCTCCGACTTTTAAATTTTTCAATATTTTTCTGACTAACATTCTAGAAAACAATTTTTTTAAGTACACAAAAACAGGCTGGGCACAATGGCACACACCTGTAATCCCATCACTTTGGAGACAGAGGTGGGAGGATTGCTTAAGTCTAGGAGTTAGAGACCAGCCTGGGAAACAAAGTGAGACCCTGTTGCTAAAAACAAAAAACAAAACAAAAACACACCGCACACAAAGCAAAACTTATAGGGGCATTCATTTTTTCTTTTGCCTGAGGCTCCAATATGGCTTGGTATATCACTGATTGCAAAATAGTTACGTCAAAATTTTTGAGACTGTTATGCTGAGCCAGAAAATACCCCATGATTTCTTTTCCTTTTCTATACCTTATTTTATTTTTCTGGAGTTAAAAATATATATCTCTTTTACTTGTTTGTTTAGTTTTCTGTGTACCTAATGCTGTATTTTTTTCTAATGTTGCAATTTCTCTCTCTAATATTTGGAAATAGTTTTTCCAGTATTCACACACATAAATTGTTGGGGGGTGAAGGGGTCTGAAGATCTCCTCCCAGACTCCCCACCTCAACTTAAACTAGTTGCTCTCTAAGCCTGTGCTTAGTTTTGTTACGTCAAGATTATCCTTTGCCACTCTATTGTGTTGGATGTCCTGTTTGCTGAACCGTGAATTATTCCTCATTTCTTGGCTTACTCATCATTTTGATGAATTGTGTCCTCTACTAGCTTCCTCAGAAGGTGGTCATCTTTTTTTCAGTCCAAAAATATCTAAAAATATATTTATCCGAATGATAATTTGGCTGAAGTACATAAAAACAATTCTCACGCAGTTTTTAAAATGTATTTTTTACTATCTTCTTATGTCCAGTATTTTTATTAAGTCTAATGCATGTCTTGCTCCAGTTTCTTGGTATTTAGGTTACTTTTTTTCTTTTTGGAAACTTTAGTGATTATCTCTGTCACTGGTGTTTTGAAATTGCATGCTATGTTCACCCATCCTTTTTTCATTCATTACATTAGGCATCTGACAAACCTTTGGAGCTTGGAGATTTCTGTTTGGGAGAAGTTTTCTTGTTTTATTTCTTTGGTAAATGCTCACTTTTTTTTTCTATGCTCTCTCTTTTTTTTAAGAAACTCCTATTATTCTGATATTGAGCCTCCTGCATCAACTCCTTTTTTTTTAGCTCCTTTAATTATATGTTATTTTCTTTATGGCCTTTCATCTTTTTGTTTTTTTGTTTGAATCTTTTTAAATAATTTTCTAAACTTAATTACTTATTTTAGTTGCCATATTTGTAATTTTGAAGAGCTCTGCAATTTTTATTTGTTCTTTAGTTCTCTTTTTTACAGTTTTGTTATTGTTATTATTTTTAATTTTTTTTATTTTTTGAGACGGAGTCTCGCTCTATCACCCAGGCTGGAGTGCAGTGGTGCGATCTCAGCTCACTGCAAGCTTCGCCTCCTGGGTTTACGCCATTCTCCTGCCTCAGCCTCCCGAGTAGCTGGGACTACAGGCGCCCGCCACCTCGCCCTGCTAGTTTTTCGTATTTTTTAGTAGAGACGGGGTTTCACCGTGTTAGCCAGGATGGTCTCGATCTTCTGACCTCGTGATCCGCCCATCTTGGCCTCCCAAAGTGCTGGGATTACAGGCTTGAGCCACCGCACCCAGCCAGTTTTGTTATTATTTAATAGATATAATAACATATACCTCTTTGGGGATATTAAATATTTTATATACACTTTTTTCTTTTGTTCCCAGCAATGTATCTGATGTCTCCAAGCCCCTTTCTTTATTCCTTTTTATTTTGGTATTTTTCATGTTAAGGTGTATCTTTTGTTATGTGGTGATCCTTGCCCGCCCCTACGTAATTAAAGAATGAGGCTAAAATAATCATTGAAAACCATAACTGTTTGAATGGGGACAGGGCTCTCTTGCATAGCCATTCAGGTTGAAGAATGCAGAACTCCTGCAGATATTATTTACGTATATCCTTTGTAGTCTCAAAAATTACTAATGTTTACCATATTAGAAATTGAAATAATAGTATTTTAAAACTATTGTCAAAAATAAAAATAATAAATATATGTCAACATACATAACATTTTTTCTGAAAAATAACTATTTTCCAAAACAACAGAAATTTAGTGAGAAAGAATGGCTTTATTTTACACTTTTGCATGTTTCTTTAATGTCAAGCTTTGTAGAAAAATATTGTATTCTCATGTTTCTGAATCCAATCTGTTGTGATACATTCTTTTGGTTGAAATGTATGAGGAATACCCGGCCTCACCCAGTACTTTAATATTTTCCAATAATTGAGATTATTTTCCTTTGATACTACACCAAAAGTAGACAAGTGGAAGTTTTCTTGCTTGTTACACTGTGGAATCTAACTCCGTATCACTGACCTTTTTTGCTTTGTTACATCAAAATCTGTTTGTCTGTTTTACAATTTGAATGGATCTTTTATCCATGCCTAATTTTGTAATATCATGCATTGGTCATTTGGAACATATTGGCTCACTAAGTGCCCTAGATCTTCCAAATGTTGAAATATTTCATTATATAATATCAAGTACTCACAGTAAATATTAGCATTAATCTAATCAGTGGTAGATAGGAGTTTTTGCTTGATTTTGTTACTGGAAACGAATGCTGTCAGTTGTTTTCCTTGATACAACAGGCTCACTTCGTTGATTTTTCAAAAAGAAAAAGTCCACTGAAACTCAAGTCTAAATATTCATAATTTGACAGTCCTTTAAAATAAAAATGGTGTTCTATGAAAAAAATGTAGGTAAGTACAACTCACGACTCAATCACAGATCCAAATATTTTCAGTAGGCAACAGTTGTATCTTATGCGTACTTTGCATTTTGTCACACAAAATATTAAAAAGATATGAGCTCAAAGATTGAGATTTAGTAAAATTATTACTTTTTAAAATTTGTGTCGGTGTGGTATGAAGAATACTATGTGTATGGTGGTGAAGGATGCAATGACTACTGGTACAGGTTGGGTTTGGTGCTCCTGCCTTGAGTTATATTAATTTGCCACCATTTTTACACACTACTGTTTTTATGCCAAAGTTGTGACTTCACATGCCTCCTGAAAGTGGCTTGGAATCCCCAGGTGTCCATATATCTTACTTTGGGAACGGATGATATGAATTACAGTTTGTTGCCTTCTGGATTTGTGCACTGTACAGTATGCACAATCTGCATGAGAATTACGTAGACTTCAGTGTGGGAAAATTAGGTGCTGAGCTGACTGATTCTTTGTTGAGGAGGATGGTCTCAAAATCATGATGGAAAGGCCAGGTGTGGTGGCTCATGCCTGTAATCCCAACACTTTGGGAAGCTGATGCAGGAGGATCCCTTGGGGCTAGGAGTTTGAGAGTAGCCTGGGCAACACTGGAGACTTCGTCTCTATTTTAAAAAAATTTTTTTAACTAACCAGTCATAGTGAGCACATAATGTGTAGTCCTAGCTACTCAGGAGACTGAGGTGGGAGGATTGCTTGAACTCAGGAGTTCGAGGTTGCAGTTGAGCTATGATCATACCACTACATTCCAGCCTCGGTGATAGAGTGAGACCCTGTCTCTTAAAAAAAAAAAAAAAAAAAATCATTCTGGAAAATTTTTTCTTTGGGGTTGATCATTTTCTCCAGAGAGAAATCTAGCTTCTAGCTGAGGGTGCTAGGTTGGGGAGTGAGTTCTCTGGCTGTTGGCATTCTGGAAGCCAGGCATGGAGAAGAATTGTTAAGTATGTGGACTTCTACAAAATCTTTGCGTTTTCTCAGTATCTCCTGTGTGCCTTTTGCTATTCCTGGTGTTCATAAGTCTAGACTATCTCCAGTTCAGAAAGTTAACTTTTAGGCCTGGCACGGTGGCTGACCCCTGTAATCCCAGCACTTTGGGAGGCCAAGGTAGGCGGATCATTTGAGGTCAGGAGTTCACAACCAGCCTGACCAACGTGGTGAAACCCTATCTCTACTAAAAATAAAAAAATTAGCTGGGCATGGTGGAATATGCCTGTAATCCCAGCACTTTGGGAGGCCGAGGTGGGTGGATCACCTGAGGTCAGGAATTGGGGACCAGTCTGGCCAACATGGTGAAACTCCATGCCTACTAAAAATACAAAAATTAGCCAGGCATGGTGGTGGGTGCCTGTAATCCCAGCTACTGGAGGGGCTGAGACAAGAGAATCGCTTGAACTTTGAAGGTGGAGGTTGCAGTGAGCTAAGATCGCACCACTGCACTTCAGCCTGGGTGACAAGCAAGACTGTGTCAAAAAAAAAAAAAAAAAAAGGAAGGAAGGAAGTTAAGAAGGATGCTAACTTTTAGTCTCTTTGGTAAGGGAAGGTATAGGTACCTGTTGTGTAAGCTTCGGGGAAGGAGCATTTAGATTTCCCAGCAATGCTTTGTTTTTACTTTTTGTGTACTAAATAGTATACTGACCACCTGCAAATACCAGATATTTTTGGTTCTCTGGGCAAATTGATTCTCTTCTCCTTGCACTCCTCCACTGCAGACATTCATTGTAACTTCCTCCATACTGCTAAGTCAGTACCAACTCTTCCAGTGACTTTCCTATGTCTAAAAAGTTGGTGAAATCTGTTTAGCAATTAGTATACTTTGATGTTTTCTTCATCTTTATGAGTAAAAATATTTTATTTCTTTGCCCTCATTTTAGCAGGGTTTTGAGAGGGTGAGTAGATGAATGTATGTGATAAATACACCATTATCAATTTTATAGGCTTGAGTTGATCTACCATAGTGGTTAAGAGGTAGATGTAGATTTGAATCTTTACTACTAATTGTGGTATTGCCTTGGTTCTTTGCCAGTTATTGTGGTATTGCCTTGGGTTCCCACTCAGTCTTATTTCTCATGTATAAAAATAGTGTTTATAAAATCTAATACGTAAATTAAATGAGATAGTGAATGTAAAGTTCTTAATACACTGCTTCATGCATCATATGTACTGCATAGCTGGTAATTGTTACAAGCTGTTAGGTTGGCCTATGGCTTACTGAGGTTTTACTCTTTTCTTTCTTCCCTGTAAAACATTTGAAATAAGTAGAATATTTCTTCCTTAGTGGACTGTTTCATATTTTTGGTTTGACAGTGGAAGGGTTACCGTGACTCACTATGAAATCATAAATTCAAAAATGTTTTATCTAAATATCTGTGCTTAATATATTTATATAAAATACTATGGAGGCATCTTGTTATTCAAATTCAAGTTGTGTTTTACTAGTTTTCTGTTTAAGTAATTGTAATTATGACCCACATTTGAAATAGCGGTTAAGAAAAGCAGATATTGACATGGGTGGGTAACTGCTTTTTTACCTTGAATCAGAAACTTTTGGTACACTGAAACTTTTGTAAGTTTAAAAACATTTTTAAAACCGCATATAATTACGATAATTATTCTAATTATATTTTATATTTAATAAATTATTTTTCTATTTCTGTGTTATATTAAGTTGCACAGTTAAGTTTCTTTTATCCAGAAAGTTTAGCATAATAAAAATAGTTTTCTTTAAGATTAACTGTGAATGTAAAAGAGAAGTATTATTAATTATTTCAGGAAATTGGAAGACCTAACATGGCTGAAAGAGAAACAGAAACATCAAATTCTGAAAGGTAAATATAAGGAAAAAATGAGTTTCTTAAAATTCAAGTATACGAAATAACACTTGAGCTGCATTATTTCACAGTTAACTGGCAAAGGACTATTTAAATTTTTGTATATAGTGCTATTTTCTATAATGGCTCTTAATTAAAGTAAAACTTAAAAACTTTAATCCAACAAAAATATTCTCTATATCCTTCGTTTTTAAATATTTTAAACATATAGAGTATATTTTGTGTTGTTAAATTTTTGAAAAACTACTTACTAGCAAATAAAATGTTGGCAGATTTTCTTTGCCCCTATTAAATGAATACATTTACAAGATGCTACATGTTACTGGACAGGAACAGTTATTGCAAATAGATAATCTTAAGATTTTTTAAAGTATTTTCCAAAAGCTATAAGACTACTTATGTGGTAGGATTTCAATAGTTTTAAAATTCAGGGATTGGCTTTTAAAATTTTCATACTTTGGTAGAATGTTAAAGAACACAAGATGTTTCACAGTCTTTTAGCAGAAGAGAATCTGAACATTCCAATTAGAACTTTATTCCAAAGAAGGGTAATTTTATTTTGTCTCTTAAGTAATTTCACCCATTTATATCTGTATGCTATATATTTTACAGTAGGTTGCCTGTTAGTCTGTTGAGATTAATCTTTTGTCCCTAAAAGCAAATTATTAATTAAGTTCCTATGGAGGTGTTTCTTATACTTCATTAGTAAAGTGATCTCGCCCTTTCTTCACCTGGCATTTTTTGTTAGTTCTCAGGGGACTGTTAACAAAAAATCAACTAAAGAGTTAGAAAATGCGGACTAGTCATCTCTGTATTATGTAACGTTTTCTGTAAATTGTAGTTAGTCCATTATGATCTGAACAAAAATAAGAATTATACAAATTTGAAATGAGGAAAAAAATAATAGTTTTTCTATATGTAATTAGCCAGTTAAGATCCAAAAAATGAGTTAAGAATGATTGAAATTAATGAGAATACTGATTAAAGTAGCCTGGTGTAAAAATCAGAATCTTTCTAATCTACCACTAACATATGATTACAAAATATAGTGGACAAACTTGCCCAATCATAATGTAACAAAAATGATACAACTGATTGATCACAGCCAGTTGCAGAGTTCTTTGTTCTTTTTCCACTCCCACCGCTTCGCTTGACTAGCCTTAAAAATATCTATATCTATATATAGAGAGAGAAATGGGGAGGATCCAAATCAAGAAAAGCAAAATTTTACCATGATAAAAAATAATATATTAACTGCATGATAGACTATTTTACAAATTAAATTATGAATTGAATAAACATTTATGGGATTTGTTTTGGAAACTGACAAACTTAAAAAAAGATTTATATTTTTCTACTTAGCAATACCATAATGTATTTAATCATTCCTTTCTTGTTGGATAAGGTATTAGGTTTTTGGCTGGGCACTGTGGCTCATGCCTGTAATCCCAGCACTTTGGGAGGCCGAGGCGGGTGGATCACGAGGTCAGGCGTTCGAGACCAGCCTGACCAATATGGTGAAACCCCATCTCTACTAAAAATACAAAAATTAGCCGGGCTTGGTGGCATGCGCCTGTAATCCCAGCTACTCGGGAGACTGAGGCAGAAGAATCACTTGAACCCAGGAGGCAGAGGTTGCAGTGAGCCGAGATCATGCCACTGCACTCCACCCTGGGCGACACAGTGAGACTCTGTCTCAAAAAAAAAAATTAGATTTTTAATATTCACTATTTTAAACATTGTTTTAATGAGCTTCCTTGATAAATATCTTTTACATTTTTAAAGTATGAAATTTATGGGGAAGAGTTGTAGAATATAGGTGATTTGTTTAGTTCTAAAGTATATTGTTAATCAGTAATTGTTAAAACTGGGTGCTATTGGTTTAGGAATAGTCTAAAGACAAATCAGTAGAACAAAACAAATAGCAGAGAAATAGCCTTATATAAATAACAATTTAGTAAATAATAAATTGCCTTTTGGAAATGTTGCTAGGATATTTGTGCAATTCATTGGGAATACGTCTAAATGTCAGATTGATTAAATGTAAGAAATAAGGTATATGTAATCATTAAATTTATTTTTGTAAAATAAGCATCCTTAGATCTAGATAATGGATTGGTGATCTTCTTAGAAATCTTGTTTCTCGTATTTTATGGTTCACTAGATAGTTTCTGTTAACACATCAGGGCCAGAATAAACACACAGAAGCACACACATATAAATATATATGTGTACAAACATGTTCACACACTTAGATGTGTATGTATGTTATATATTTACATACAGTTTTTCAGGCATGTGTTTATGTTTTTAAAATTAGGCTATTAAAAATTAGAGAATATGTTTGAATGATTATCTGATTTTATGTATGGAAAAACATCCTAAACATAAGAGGCTATTTAAATCATAAAGGAGGCTGGACATGGTGACTCACACCTGTAATCCCAGCACTTTGGGAGCCAAGGCAAGAGGATTGCTTGAGCCTAGGAGACCAGCCTGGGTAACATGGAAAGACCTTGTCTCTGTGAAAAATAAAAAAATTAGCTGGGCTTGGTGGTGTGCACCTATATTCCTAGCTACTTGGGAGCCTGAGGTAGGAGGATCACTTGAGTCCAGGAGGTCAAAGCTGCAGTGAGACATTTGCACCACTGTGTTCCAGTCTGGGTGACAGAACAAGACCCCGTCTCAAAAAAGAAAAAAATCATACAAAAATATAGATTTTTTCCAAATATATTTTTTTATTTTAGGTACTTTTGCAAGTTAATAAAAATATTTAAATTTAAACTAGAAACAGGCAAGAGATATGAACAGATGAACATAATGACAGCCAGGACTAAGACTAGTTGATAGACATCTTTTAGTATGTGACTCCAGAGTTTCTCAGAATCTTGCCTAAGAAAATGGCCTCCTGCTAAATTATACTGGCACAGCAAGGATGGGGAACTTGGACTTGTTTTCCTTTTTGATGGGCAAATGTACCTTGACTTTTTATTTTTTAGAGCATGTCTTTATTTTGATAGTGTTCAAAAACATTGCTTTATGAAGAAATACATAATAAATTACTTTATTTTTCAGTAAACAGGATAAGGCTGCTTCTTCAGAAGAAAAAAATGGATGTAATGCAAATTCATTTGAAGGCTCATCAGCAACAAAAAGTGAAGAAAGCCTAAGAGTTTCAGATAAGGAAAATGAAACCTGTCTTGCAGACCAGGAAACTGGCTGCAAAAACATCTTCAGTTGTGATTCAAATATTGGTGCAGATAAAGTGGAAAAGAAAAAACAAATACAACATGTTTGTCAGGAAATGGAGTTGAAGATGCGCCAAAGTTCAGAAAACATAATCTTATCTGCTCAGATTAAGGATCACAACTCCAGTGAAGCCAGATTTTCTTCAAAGAATATTAAGGATTTGCGGTTAACATCAGATAATGTTAGCATTGATCAGTTTTTGAGAAAAAGAGATGAACCTGAATCTGTTAGTTCTGATGTTAGTGAGCAAGGCAGTATTCATTTGGAACCTCTGACTCCATCAGAGGTACTTGAGTATGAAGCCACAGAGATTCTTCAGAAAGGTAGTGGTGATCCTTCAGCCAAGACTGATGAAGTAGTGTCTGATCAAACAGATGACATTCCTGGAGGAAATAACCCCAGCACAATAGAGGCAACAGTAGACCTGGCAGATGAAAAAGAAAGAAGTTGAAATTAGTCATTTTAAGTTTCAGTGTACCAACGATAAGGGCATTTGGAACAGTGCTATCAGGTGAGCTCAGTGGTGCTTTTGTAGGTTCAGAAATGGAAATATGTAAGGGAGGTCACACATACACTTTACCTGTATGTTCAACCTATGTTATCAAATCAATTTGCCAATAATAGCATGATTAGTAGGGATTCCCAAGAAACATGAACAAGATTTTAATGATAGTTACAGTTGCAGTGGAAAGGTCTCGTTTAATGGTTTTCAAGGAAATGGGATTTGGTTGCTGACATGAATTGATTATATTAGTTATATTTATAAAGCCTTTCAAACTTCCATCAGTCCTAAGCTAAAAATCCTTATTACTTATACATCCTTTTCAGTGAACTGAGAGGAAAAAATTTGGAAACCATGTACTTTTTGGGAGTAACTGATTTAAAATAATGGCTGATTGGCATTGTTAATGAAGGCTTTATTTTTTAGGATGATGCTGGTAAATGGAGCATGCTTAGAGTACGAAATTGACCTAATGAGAATTTGGATGAACATAAACTTAATTTTGGATTTAATATAACATTCCAGTCTGTCAGACGCATGTAAACAGAATATTTGAATCTTTGTACCTCCATACAAGTGTTAGCCTGCTAGGCTGTAAGCTTACCTTAATTAAACTTTCAGTGAAAGTGGAATTATTAAGATATAAATTTATATTTGTGCTTTTTGTCAGTGTGTAAGCTGTGTAGAAATTCTTCGATGTATTAGTTGTATTAATGTAAAGTAGACACCCATTGTTGAAACTCCTGTAGCTATTATGCTTTTAATATTGTTTTAATGATCTGCTTTAGAAATAGGCCCATAAAAATGGTCTGGAAGCCAAACCAAAGTATGGTATAATGTAGATATTGTAAAACAGTAAACTGAAAACATATCCTGGCATGTATTCAGCCATGTTTAAGTGACTTTTCTGTAATTGTAAAATAAAAACTTCAAATGGGACCTAAAACAGTGATGTAAAAAACTGGCTTTGGAGATTTAGCCTAATTTATCTATAAGATGGCTGCTACATTGATTTCTCAGTTTTTTTATCATCTAGAATATAATAGATATAGAAATGAATAATATGAAGAACAGTAGTTTGCTTTGAAGTACTAATAAACTTTTATTTAAAATGCTTCATTTTTACTTCTTAAAATGTGCTTTGGATTCTTAAATTTTGTTTCACTGAATGTTCAATGTTTTAAATGGCGATTAAAACTCTGCTGTATATAGTACTTTTTGAGTAAATATTTGCAATAAAAATCTGTCCCCGAATAATTCTATTTTTCCAATCACTGCTTGATTCAGATTACCTTTGGTGCCTTTAGAAATTATATACTTATTTAAGAAATTTAATATCAGTGTTAGCGGTGAGGATTCCATTCTACGTTCTTTAACTGCTGATGCATTATTTTAAATTAGGACTTAAAGTACAGGGGACAATATTGCTAATATTTATTTATTTATTTTTTATTTATTTATTTTTGAGACGGAGTCTTGCTCTGTGCAGTGGCCGGATCTCAGCTCACTGCAAGCTCCGCCTGCCGGGTTTATGCCATTCTCCTGCCTCAGCCTCCGGAGTAGCTGGGTCTATAGGCGCCCGCCGCCTCGCCCGGCTAGTTTTTTGTATATTTTAGTAGAGATGGGGTTTCACCGTGTTAGCCAGGATGGTCTCGATCTCCTGACCTCGTGATCCGCCCGTCTCAGCCTCCCAAAGTGCTAGGATTACAGGCTTGAGCCACCGAGCCCGGCCAATATTGCTAATATTTATGAGAATAGATTTGCTTTATAAATTCTTTTACTTCCAGATAAATAGAATTTAATATCTGCTTTTTTATCTGCTCAACAATTTAAAGAGGCTAAATAGGCAAAATATATTATGAATTATTTTGAGTATTTTGAGGAGGAGAGCTAATATTTTTATCTTTCCTGCTCCCAAGAAAAGATAGGGAGAGAGGGAGCCATTAGCTATCATCCTTCACCTTGTTAAAATGTAATTCTGTATCATGGAAGATTTTTGGAAAATATGAATCTTAGAAGAGCAGAGTGTAGGGAAAAGGCCTGTCTCTATAAGGACCACTTTGTGAGTCTCATTCAGTGTGTTGCCACATTATCACATTATACCACAAAACTCTAGAGCACTATGCCAAAATAAGCCTCTAAGTGCTCAAAATAAGTCTATAATCCCTTTGGAGCTTTGCTACTCCAGCCCCCATATACCTTTCGAGTTGTGGTATTCAAAGTAGCAGGTCAATGAACTGTTTGTACCTATATACTATGAGAAAAGGAACCTATACTGGACTGTAAGTGCTTCATTGAGAAAGCCTGGCAATGAAAAAAAAAAAATAGTTGAATTAAGAATTGTACTTGGAACCATAGCTGGTTTACATTCTCTCTCAATCTCCTTATCTCCAGTCAGGAACAACCAATCCAGGTATGCAAACCAAACCTTTGGTAGCAGTGCTTTAGAGCAGTGGTTAGGAAACTTCCTCTACAGGGCCAGACAGTAAATAATTCTGGGCCATGTAGTACAGTTACCCAACTCTGCCTTGTATCATGAAAGCCAGTGTAGATGATATGTAAATTTGAAACTGTGTTCCAGTAAAACTTTATTTACAAAAATAGGATGTTGACTGGATTTGGCCCATGGACTATAGTTTGCCTACCCCTGCTTTGTAGTGCTTAAACTCCTTTGATAGAAATATGAAAGCCAGTGATGCACTCTAGTGACTGTTTGCCTAAGAACCATCAAGACGCCTTAGTATGTTACAGTTCGCTGTTAAAACAATAGGATTATGCTGGATTATAAGTGCAGTTTAATAATATCAAGAAGCTTTACTTTATAGGATGCACTGTTAATTTATATTGAAAATCTGAATACCATATTCACATATGCACTTGTTGTTACTACAAGACTACTCTTTGTATGAACTTTAATGAAATAGGAAGTTTGTATGCACTATAAGAGGATTGCAAGTGTTTTATTTTTACTAGAGTATTATAACACTAAGACTTGTTTACTCAGCTAAGAAGCAAAACACTTGATTTACCTATTTCTAAACTTGAGGAAAAGCAATTATCTTTTAAGTACAGTTATGTGCCACATAATGACGTACCCTATGTATGATGGTGGTCCAATAAGATTATAATGAAGCTGAAAAAATACTCTTGCCTGGTGACATCTTGATGATGCTGACCCCACATAGGCCTAGGCTAATGCGTGTGTGTGTCTTAGTTTTTAGCAAAAAAGTTTAAAAAGTAAAAACAAACTGTTTAATAGTAAAAAAAAGTTATAGAATAGGATATAAAGAAAGCAAGTATTTTTGTAGAGCTGTCAAATGTTTGTGTTGTTAGCAAAACATTAATACAAAAGAGTCAAGTAAAAGGCCAGGCACAGTGGCTCATGCCTGTGGTCCTAGCACTTTGGGAGGCCAAGAGGGGCAGATCGCTTAAGCCCAGGAGTTTGAGACTAGCCAGGAAAACGTGGTGAAACTGCACCTCTGCAAAAAATAAATAATAATAAAAAAATTAGTCTTTGGGAGGCTGAGACAGGTGGATCACGAGGTCAGGAGATCGAGACCAACCTGGCTAACACGGTGAAACCCCGTCTCTACTAAAAATACAAAAAATTAGCCGGGTATGGTGGTGGATGCCTGTAGTTGCAGCTACGTGGGAGGCTGAGGCAGGAGAATGGCGTGAACCCGGGAGGCAGAGCTTGCAGTGAGCCGAGATCGCGCCACTGCACTCCAGCCTGGGCAACAGAGCAAGACTCCGTCTCAAAAAAAAAAAAAAAATTAGGCATGGTAGCAGTTGCCTGTAGTCCCAGCTACCCAGGAGGCTGAGGTGGGAGGATCACTTGAGCCTAGGAGTTCAAGGCTACAGTGAGCTGTAATCGAGCCACTATACTCCAGCCTGAAGGACAGAGCAAGACCCTGTGTCAGGAGTCAAGTAAAAAAATTTTAAATATATAAAGTAAAAAAGTTATTGTATGTTAGGGTTTGTTATTGAAGAAACATTTTTAAATTTAGACCAAGCGTACAGTATTGATAAAGTCTACAGTAGTGTACAGTAATGTCCTAGGCCTTCACAGTCACCATTCACTGACTCATCCAGAGCAACTTCCAGACCTGCAAGCTCCATTGATAGTAAGTACTCACAGGCGTACAATTTTTTATCTTTATACTATATTTTTACTGTACATTTTCTATGTTTAGATACACAAACACCATCGTGTTACACTTGCTTACAGTATTTAGTACAGTAACATGCTGCCCAGGTTTGCAAGCTAGGAGCAATAGACTATGCCATATAGTAGGCAGTACCATCTAGGTTTGTGTAAGACCACTCCATGATGTTCACACAACGCTGAAACCGCCTAACAATACACTTCTCAGAATAGATCCCTCTCATTAAGCGATGCATAACTATTTTTTTGACTGAGGCACATCTGCAGATCAATGTAGACAAAATGAATAAACAGATTTTTGAAAGCCATGACAATATTTAATTTTCAACTTAAAAGCTTCAAATTAAAAGATAAACTCAGATCATTTGTGAGGAACTAAACACATCTGTAGCAACAACTATAACATCTTTAAGAAATGAGATATGTTGGGTGAAATTGCTTTTTTATAGTTAGCTCTAGCGAACTTTTAATTGCTTGTTAAAAGTCCTGTAAAATTGCCTTCATTTTTAACAAATATTTTCCACATAATTTGGACTTCATTGATGGCACAGTGTGCCATTATTATGAAGATTATTGGGCCACACTTTAAGGGAAGCTGTAGCTGCAGAAGTTAATGACTTGAAAGACAGTTGATCACAGAAGTTACCTTGGGTTTTGGTTTCTGGAAAATGCCCCAGGTATATCTAGGATCATTAGACTTAACCAAAAACAGCATAGAAAAATTGACTGTATTGCTGATCCACTCCAACACCTTTTTTAAAATGACTTTTCTCCCCTGAATATAAAAGTAAGGCATGCTGTTTGTGGAGATTTGGAGAAGTATAAAGTATGATTTTAAACTTTTTTTTTCAGATGGAGTTTTTGCTCTTATTGTCCAGGCTGGAGTGCAGTGGCGTGATCTCGGCTCACCGCAACCTCCGCCTCCCGGGTTCAAGCAATTCTCCTGCCTCAGCCTCCCGAGTAGCTGGGATTACAGGCATGTGCCACCACGCCTGGCTAATTTTGTAGTTTTAGTAAAGACAGGGTTTCTCTATGTTAGTCAGGCTGGTCTTGAAGTCCTGACCTCTGGTGATCCACCTGCATCAGCTTCCAAAGTGCTGGGATTACAGGCGTGAGCCACCGCGCCAGAGCGGTTTTAAACTTTTAAAGTATTTCATCTTTATCCGGTACCTTAAAGTCATTTTTTTTTTTTTCTTGAGCTGGAGTCTCGCACTGTTGCCCAGGCTGGGGTGCAGTGATGCAATCTCAGCTCACTGCAACCTCTGCCCCTCAGGTTCAAGCAATTCTCGTGTCTCAGCCTCCCAAGTAGCTGGGATTACAAGTGCCTGCCACCACACCCAGCTAATTTTTCTGTTTTTGGTAGAGATGGGGGTTTCGCCACGTTGGCCAGACTAGTTTTGAACTCCTGATCTCAAGTGATCCACCTGCCTTGGCCTCCCAAAGTGCTGGGATTACAGGCGTGAGCCACCATGCCTGGCCTCCACTTCCTTGAAAACATTTTAATTCTCTGTGTTAGGGGTTAGCTGACTATGACCCACAGTTGACTACCTATTTTTATAATCAAAATATTAGAACAGCCATACTATTTAATTACATATTGTCTGTTGTTACTTTTGCGCTACAACAGCACAGTTATATGAGACAGAGACCATAGGGCTCACAAGCCTAAGTTATGTACAATCTGGCCCTTTAAGGAAAAGTTTGGCCCTTACTTTATATTTTCATATAGCCCATATCATACTTTTATAACCATTCTTTAATTTTCATTATTGTAAACATTACAGTGGAACTTAGTTTATAAATTTGGTCCACATTTCTTACTATTACCTGTTCTAGAATTACAAGTTTGCAATTTTTTGAAGATTATTCAGTTTTTAAATTAAGAGACTCTCTGTCGCCCAGGCTGGAATTCAGTGGCATGATCTCAGCTCACTGCAACTTCCACCTCCCGGGTTCTAGCAATTCTTCTGCCTCAGCCTCCTGAGTAGCTGGGACTACAGGCGCACGCTGCCAGGACTCGCTAATTTTTTGTATCTTAGTAGAGATGGGGTTTCACTGTGTTGCCCAGGCTGGTCTTGAACTCCTGAGCTCT